AGTTTAACCATCAACTGAAAACACCCAGCCACCAACTGAATAAAATAGAAGAACAAGTCGAAAGACTGCTAAAAATCGATCCTAACAGGATAATACCCTAGCCACACAAAGACACGGACACACTAAAACGACCACAACAACAGTGTAATAATCAAAAACACAAAATCACACAACCCAAAGAACAACCCGAAATTCACAAAATCCTCATCCTATTCTCTCCATAAACAATATTCGTCAAAACGTCACCGCTGCGTCAAATTTATTTAAAATGGTAAATAAAAGGGAACAAAATTTATCCCTGCAAATTGCAATCTGCAACTTTCTGCACAGCCTATGAAGTACGAACCCTGGCTTTTAACCAGAGAGAGAGGAAGTTTGGGTGTTGTCAGGCGCACGCAGGTAACCGTGTGCTTCCCCTCGGAAATCCACCGTGTAAAATACGGAGGTTTTGATTTTTATAATTAAGCTGAGACAATTACGTGATCAAGGGTTGAGATGATCACATCAGTCAAAATCAAAGGGGTTTGTAGAGTTACATTAATAGTGGGGGTCGTAGATTAGTAACTGTTAAACCCACTTTTTAACAGTGGTTTGATATGGAAAGTGCTGTAAAAAAAAAATCTTATGGGGTGCAGTGAAAGGGACCTTTTGATTGTTAACTTTGCTTGTAGTTTTTTGTTCTTGTTGGGAACCCAAATTTCTCTCAATAGAATCTATTTTTTTTTTAAAATATATTATTAATTGATCATTCATTTTAGAAAGGGAAAGTAAGTACACATAATATATATTTTTTATTCGAAGCGATAGAAGTATTATAAAAATACGCATAAATGTGCAAAGAAGCAGTCACCGGCTGAATACAAACAACCAACGGCTGAATACAAGCCGCCAATAGCTGAATAAAAATGGGAGGACAATCAACAAATGTGAAAATGATGTAGTATTCCACAAATGTTAATTGAAAATATGTACTTAAAATGATTAATAAAATGGAGTTTCATTTAAATTTTTTAATACTATTTTTTTTTAAAAAAATATTTGCTATTATTATTTAAAGTTACACTCATTATCTACATGATTTGCTCGTCATATTTTATAAAATTTTCTAACTCAGCCTCATATAATAGACTTGATAGATATAATTAAAATACTCATTTGTAGGACTAATTAAGACCTCGAGGATGGATTTTGTGATGGGGTGTCTATATGTACACTCCCTCAAGTATAAAAAAGGGGTGTACATATAACACTTTTCTTTGTGTAATTTATTAAAAGGGGGTGTACATATAGCATTGCCCTTTTGTGATTTCAAAATTGTGTGATTTTTGTAAAAATATATTTATATGAGATGGATTTATTGTTGACCGGTGGATTCATCAAGTTTTTTTCATAACAGTGCATATTTATATGTAATTTTCGAGCTTATATCTTATATCTTTACCAAACATAGCTTTAATGTTATGTTATACATTATCGCACAATTATTTATATTTTTGTTTGAAGTATAATAAATTGATGGAGACGAGATTGCGATAGCATTTTTAAATAAATATGATCGTCTTAGTATTTAGCGTGTTTCATTTTCATTAGTCGTTTTTATTTATTATTGGGTTATTATTATTGTTGTTGTTGTTGTTGTTGTTGTTGGGCTTTTATTTAATATTTTAGTGGACTTTTAAGTTAGGGTCTTATATGATGTATAAAAACCATCGTCTTCCCTTTTTGGAGACGGACTGAATTTTATTGAAATTGAGAATTATCTCTCGAACAATTGTTCGTGTTCTTTCATTTCATACTACGCTCTACATCAGTTGGTATCAGCAGACCAGCAACGATCAACGATGCCGCCGAAAAGAAACGTCGTAATCGACAACGCCATTGATGAACGCTTCCAACGGGTAGATGAACGCTTTCATGGAATGGACGAGAGGTTTACGAATATCTCAACGGGGATCGAGGACTTGCGCGATGCAATGCGAACGTTGATGGACAAGGTACGTACAAACCGTGGC